CTGTTGTATTTCAAATGCTCAAATGAGGCACTCGCGTTTTCTGCGATTTTTGCGATTCGCGCGACGGATCGCGAACTCTAACAGGAGCCTTAGACGCTTATCAACCTCTTTCTGAGATGTCCCACGCGTTTAACTGTCGTTCAGAATCAAGCGATGTACAAGTCAATGAAATCATCCTTCTAGAGAAGTTGGCTAAAAGTAATCGGCCGAATGATTGGTTTTACTCGATCCAGGGTCAACCGTCCGTTGGACAAAGTCCAACGAGGGGGTCGTATTTGGCCGACCGGTAGGGGAGGGGTCGTATTTGCAAAGGTCAACGTCGCAATACGTAGGTGAGAGGCATAACTTTCGAGTGCTTCTCCAACTATTAACCACAAACGAGTGCATGGCGCACCTCAGAGCAGAAGAGTCTACTGCAGAAGTGTCCATATTTGACTGTTCACGTACACAAATATGCTCTCGAGGAGAACCAATGTCTTCAAACTGGACCTAAGTTAGTAAAAAGTGACCACTTGGGTAGATTGACTGTTAAAGGCTTACAAGAAAAGTTTGGGAAAAAATGCTTGCCCCGTCAGCGACTTCTTGGAAAAGGTTTAGTATCTGTGAAACCAAGTACTTTGTCGGGTATCATTATTCCCATAAAATTGAGTTTGAAGAGAGCTGTGAGTGTTTGAGTGTTGAAAACTCGTGTTTTCAGGAGAGTAGCTCCGAAAATTCATGAAAAAAAAGGTCCAACGGGCGATTTTTTGAACGGGTCATTTTGGAAACGAGTCAAGTATTCATTGGAAAGCTCTAACCTTCTAGTTTCTTCCAGGGGGACAAGAATTGCAAAAAGTTGAATCTGAAGAAAGTTATAACAGTTCAAAGCCAAAAAACCAGCGCTCTGCAAAAATCGGTCCGCGATTTCCCCAAAACGGTCCAACGGGGCGATTTTTTGACTCCTCAATTTTGAAAAGAGTTCAAGTATTCGTCGTTAGAAAGCTCTAACCTTCTAGTTTATTCCAGGGGGATAAAAGTTGCAAAAGGTGGAGTCCTAGCGAAATTTATAGTCAGAAATGTAGTCACGAAACCAACAAAACCCCGGTTGCGCGCCAAAAAAAGTCTTCCAAAAGCGATGTTCGAATAAGATGGCCTTTGGCAAAAGTTGGTGCGTTTCTAGGAGAGAAAATTATCTATGCCTTAAAGAATTTCCTACGACTGGACCAACTGATTATTTGCGGAATTGCAACTTGCAAATTAACACATTGACGACCGCGCGCGTTTTGGCTTTTTTGGCCGTGTGGGACCGGGCCGATTTTGCGAGTGCGACCGCCGCACCTCGGATCCGTGAATTTTTATTGATAACTTTTTAAAGCACCAGTGGTACAAAAACATCTCAGTAACAGTCAATGCGTAGAAGGTAATAGAGTATATAGTGACGAAGTTCCGATTAAAGAACATGTAATGGTAATGAAAAAGGAAACTTTAGTCATTTTATCTGTAGTGGATGCCAAAAGCTCTTTTGATGTGGTTATACCAAGTGAAACATGTATTTTTCTGTCTCTTTAGATTTGCATTTACTTTCACTACCCTTTTTTATTGACGTGTTCATGAGAATAGCATGAAAACTATTAATGAACCAAGCCGCCGGTTTCGGTGAGCTTGGAAAACTTCTTCTAAACTGGAGCATATTTGAACAAACAATGACCTATGTCGTTCACAATAATGTTATGTTCTAATCCATAGAAGAGAGACAAACAATTCGGGAAAAAGCTGCGCATGCCCTAGAAAAAGGGATGATAAGGGTGAGACGCGGTAACGCGTCTCAATGTCCAACGAGGTGCGTGCGCAAAGTGAGACGCGTTACCGTCTCAAATGTCGTCATGGTTAAAAAAGGTCGCATTGTGTGGACTAATTCTTACCCATAACTAAAAAGATTCTGAGATACTGCAGAAACGTGGTAGTTTTGAAGCTAGCGCTTTTGAGAATTACCGGACTAGAACAGTCACTCATTTGAAAATTAGTAGACCGCCTCGGTCTATCCGCGCTAGGCCGAGGGGAATATTGTGCGCGCCAATGCAAGCGCGACGTTACCGCGTTCAGTCAGGTGTAACGTTCGAAGTGGTGGTAAGAAGTAGTCACAAAACACACAAGCACACACATATATAAAGAGTACAGTACATAATAAATGTTTGGGGGAGGGGGTCGTATCTAGACTCGATAAAATGAGTGTGGTCGTAAAATTTCCGAAATCGGTCCAATGTGACGGTTGACTCCGACTCGATCCCAGAATCACGCACATGGCGGTAGCTCGCCTTGGTAGCCCACTTTGTCTGGAAAAATCGGAAGAGCTACATACATACCCTGCCCTTCGAAAAGCGAGAAAGTGTCGGGTGCAGACCATGCACCACAAGGTGACGACGGTCTTCACAAAATGTTAATGGTTTATGCCAATGAAATGATGATTAGCCTGTGCAGTTGTATTACTAATTACAACTATCATTTACCAAAAGTCAGCTATCACTATGAACTTCTACTAACCAGATTTACTTGGAGGGAGTCGTCAGTTGTGGTGTTTGGTCTGCACCCGACACTTTCTCGCTTTTTGAAGTATGCCCCTTTGAAATAACATGCGAACGCAATCCTGTGTACTTTGACAAGCTCTTTTCGTTACATGAAAAAAGAATCTTGTGAACCTTAACATCGAGACGTAAACAAATCAACATCGAGAAACGCGTAAACAAATCAAACCAAGTTCCGGAAGGTAAGTTTACTTATTGTTAGTTTTGGATAACCAAATTTGCGTCTCACTCACCCGATGTTCCGACGTGGCGAAGCGGAAGAGAGTTAGCACCATGATGTTGAGCACGAAGGAGACGAATGATGCCGATGTTGAGGTAGAAGCACAGAACGAACGGCAGAATTATCGTGATGATGCTCCGAAACCAGTACTGAATGTGAAACTCATGTGATACCCAAAATGGAAAACACGGAAAATTGGTGTGGGGGAAGGGTCAGATGTTGAGTGGAGGAATAAAGGATAAAGCATTGCCGATCAATCCCTTTTTGGGATGCGGCACGCATTCTACTTCCATTTGTACATTCGTAGTGGCGTTTGAATGCGATGTGGCCTATACAATGACTTGCGGGGGCCAGCCGATGTACAAGTCAGTGTTTTTATCCTCCCAGACAAGTCTGGTACCAATTAACCGACCCCGGAGGGATGGCTTGGGCGTTCTCGCCCCAGGCTTCGATCCGCCGTTGCCTCCCGTCGGTAAGCGCTGCATGCCACTACACCATTTCCGGCCGCCTTCCATTAAATCGTGATTGACTTCATGGAATGCTGATTTTCTGTCCTAGGGGATTAATACTGCCTACTCATTGGTCAAAAAGCGTTGAGAAAGGTGGAGAGTATCTATCAGTAGTACTAACATTCCCGTTGCTTTGAAAAGGATACAAGGCATTCTTCTGATAGCTTTGTAAAAACGGACACTACTCGCAAGATAGGGCATTGTAGAGGCAGTGCATTTGAAACCGCGCAAACATCTACTTTTTTAAAATTGAATTATTTCTCAGGCGGGAAAGAAGACTGTGAGTGTGCGCGAGCAGTTTCATTTTACCCGGTGTTCCTGCTCCTTCTAGCCTTAGTACTGTAGGATGCCAGTATCATTCGAGTAGCGCCTAAAAAAACTCCTGGCTGTACATGCTGGAGATAATACTTTGTAGGCACTCTTGTAAGGTTCCGTCTCGCTGAATTCACTCACAATTATCGTCAAAGATGTGAGACCTGTACAGTTCCCATTCGGGACAACCTGGAAATCATGCACGATTTTACCTGAAAAAGCCTTCCATTGAGATTGACGCCTACTGATGCATTAGGGTCAGCATGACATCACATGACGCTACAGCTGCTTTCGGTTTGATAAGGAAAAGTACGATACTCACCTCACTTCAGGACATCGGCCAGCTTGGCGATCAGGCAAAAGACAAGCGCCATGCAAACAAATGCGAGTTCCGATGATGACAGCAAACTGATTGCGGATTTTCGATGGTGATGTACCTAAAAATCACTTTGATGCAGCTGGCAGGGCTTTGTATGTGAACATAGATATTCCATTTACTCTACTGCCATTGACCCCATAGTGAGAACTTTATGTCATATTCTAAGCCCACAGATTAAAGGCAGGCCCCAGGATCACATTGGTGTGGCTCTTGTACACGAATGCGAATGTATTGGTGCGAAGTGGGCCGGCAGTAAAGAAAAAAGGAAAAGAATCCGTCAAAAACGCTTGGTTAAGGGCTCACTCACCTTCCTAATCGGCTGTGCTAATATAAGGGAATGCAGAACTAACCAAGCGCTCTTATCGGTCGGTTTCCGTGCACGAGAACGCCACTTTTGTGACTGCCCTCTAGGGATCTATACTTCAGACCGAAAGAAGGCGTTCACACGATCTCTGCCTGAGTTGTGCCTTTAAATACACGGTCCATGATTGTGCGTCCACGGTCATGGTAGAGAGGCGACAACGGTGATATCGTGCCGATTATGGCCATTGTATGCACAACAAGAACGCTAGCAGTTTGTTTTGCTAAAGTCTACACTAGGCCCGTCCCCTTCCGCTGTCTGTAGCCACGCTCGCCACTGCGAAAGGGACCGCGCGACCGCGCGTTGCGGGCAACCATAGCGCCCCTGGCTGTGGGTCGATTAGCCCACTGAAAGGGCAGCTCGCCGTTCTGTATAAACCCGTCTGAACGCCCCTTCTCTATCCCACAATTTGACATGCCTGAATGTACGATGCTCATTGGCCCTTCCCTCAGGTCAGTTACGTCTATGGTCCTCTGGGGAAGTCTGGTGCGGGGTATGTTGAATGGTTGAATCAATTTGATCTTAATTACTCGATACTTCCTCACTTACGTATTCACCAACGGTAACTACCCTCATCCACTTCAAACAACTCGCGGCATTTTTGCTACAACTTAAACTTATGCAGTAGGATCACTATATGACATGGAGTAAGTTCTACGAAACCTCTGGAGGTTTTGATGAGTGAATCTCGAATCTGGAGCTGTGGAAGGCCCTGGACAGCACTTACATGAGACTCCCTTGTTTTTTTTTTCTTGGAGGGGGGGGGGCGGGTGGAGGATCCAGTTGAATCAAGCGACGAATGCCTGATACTTGCCCAACCTTTGCCTGCTAGGTTCTTGGCTCGATGTCATTAAAATGGCAACTCCGGCTCTTTACTGGGCACGTCAGGAAAATGTGCGGAGAAACAGCTTTGTGCTTCAAAAAATTACACTTATTTCATATTTAATTAAACGGAGTTTCTGGCTAGAAGTGCTGATAACGTGATCTTTACCTACTCAATCTCTAACCTTCACGAATGAGTTAGAGATTTTGAGCGTCAGTGTACTTAGAAAGAAACAGCAAGTTTACTAATAAGATGGGAACTCAACCTCTCAAAGCGGCCGCAACGATGAGAAACGCCGACGCGGATATGAACACATGTGATATTGTGATGATAATCCGTACATATGACCACCATGCCATAGCCAGTAATTCCGAGGCAAAGTAGTCCATGTAGAGGTTCACGGGAAACAGCAGAATATACGCCGCTGAAATGGTTCCCGAAAAGTTCGTGTAAAGGTATAGGCTCCTCCTGTTGAATTTTCCCTGCATTAAATGCCCCACTTCAGGATTCCCGTCGCGCACCGAGAAGGTGTAGACGCGACGGGTCAGCGGACGAGTCGCGACGCGTACTTTAGTGAACCCGGCCGATCTATATATGTATAATGCACTGTCCTACTTCACACAGTACGCGGTGCGACTCGTCCGCTGACCCGTCTGCGTCTCTGCCGATGTACAGCTCAAAGTTTCTTATCTCACCAGAGAAGTCTTGTTACCGGTAGTGGCCCGGAGGATGGAAGGCTTCGTTGACGACAGACGCAGACCTTGGCCAGGATTGATCCCCGGATTGTGCATGCGGTAAGCAGCGCCATTAGCCTTACAGCACTTCACCCATCTGTAGTAGTGCAGGGTTCACTGTGTGATCCGTGTAATTTGGAAAGGCATTCTCACTCTTTCACAAAAAGGGGGAAACTGTATACGGGGGCATCGTGCATCGACGCATTTGAAATCGCGCAAAAGACGTCTTCTTAGTTGAAAATGGAACTGAGTCTTGGGCAGGGGAGGAGATACTCTAAGGTGCCTGACCATCTTCATTTCACCGCGAGCTCCGCTTACTGACCCAATTGTAAAAGCATGCCCGTGATATCGCCCGGAAAGCGGCCTACTCTTTTCTTTTATCGTATTGGCAACTGTTCTAAACTTGCGGGCCGTTTATTTCCTTGCACAAGCAACAAGTCTTGGCAAATTTCCTCTGAAAAATTGCTTGAAAAGAGGAATGGAAAGAAAGTCGCTGAAAATCGCGCATCAGAACTTGTTCTATTGCGCATTCATATCAACATTGGCGTTTTCAAGCATTGCAACGTGTTCCCCTCGGCTGCAGTGTTTCGTTCGATCCAAATTTATTCTCATTACGACTGCAACTCTTTGTGAAGTCCCACATGTGAGCAGAGCAAGAAATATCTCGCTTATTATGCTTAAGCCCCACACAACACTCTGGTTTGGCCACCCGCGCCTGAATGTTTGTCACTTCTTATTAGTATTTCCTTCACAAACACACTGAGCAAAGCTCGCCAGCAGGTGAAACGAAATTGAAGAACTTTGCAGTGACGTGGACCAGATTGAGCAGCCAAGGTGAGCCGACTTTTCTAGAGCTTCGACAGGCAAGCTAACTTCTCCCAGACTGTAGCCCCCTCCGCGACCTTACCACTTACACTTAAAACGTATAGCTCAATCCACCCCCCTCTCATGTCGACCTCCAAAAAAAGTTGCTAAGACACCAGAGGGAGGAAAGGTGTGAAGAGTTCAGATTTCCTCGATCTTCACCCTACGAGTCCTCAAACTCTTACCGGAATTGAGTCGATCTCGACCTCTTCGGAGGATACATAATCTATTTAGGCCGGATCCCTTCCCTCTCCAGCACCTCAGAGGATGCCCGATGTTGGCTTACCATACAAGCACCAGGGTTGTTGAGGGTGAATCCCTGACTCATGTAGAGAGCGGGAAAGCGCGAAGAAGCTTCCCATATACCTCCATTATAGCACATCTGTGACATCAAGCAAAGTGCATTGGACATTATTGGATTAAGCGAGAAAGACGTTTTTCAAGGATGAAGGGAGGACCTGCTAATGAAGTCTGTGGCCATTCTCCTGTTTACGAATTTCTGTCGCAGGAGCTCTCGCTGTTTGGAAATTGCACCATACATATGCTGTCTTCCTATAGATAAATAAAACTGATTTACCTGACAAAAATGTATCGGAGAAGGCGAGAAACGTCAAATAGATCAGGCTGGACGACCGATACCGCTTGTTCCGTATCAAAACACAGAACAGGAACATGTTGAACACCACCGATATCAACGCAATGATGGCACCGGCGACACCGACGAGCACAAGCCTGCAAAAGAGAGGATGTTATTGCAGGAACGGCTCCCAGTCATATCTCTTGAACCTTATCCCCTTGAGGGAGTTTTGCTTTCTCGCCTTACGTGCTTTCTTTCAATCATTGTTGCCTTGCTTCCGCACAAGTATCTATGTTTTTCCGATAAACAAGAAAATATGGCTAATTTAATGAAAGCTTTGTTCAGCGTTTCCTGGTATAACCGATTCCGAATAATTGCTCTTATTTCTACTTTTTAGAGGTCACTGCTCCATAAAGTGATCTCGTCTTAAAGGCAAACCCCGGGATTAAACTGGTGCTATCAGCGCTTCGTGGTGATAGCTTAGCTGCGGAACGACCTGAAAGTGGGAAAGCAAGAGAAATCTTTGGAACGCTGAAACTAAGGCCTTAACCTTCAGTAAGGTCGGATGTGGTACGATGGCGAGACAGGGCGGTCAAAGAAGACAAAATACGCGAGAGAGCACGTCGTTTGAGAGAGCACGCTGATCTCTACATCAATGCACGCTGATCTCACCACTCTCGCGGTGGGTGGGAAGCGTTGGAACGGGGTCGATGGTTGCAGGCCCGTAAGGATTAGCGCCCTAACCGCGCAATTTTAGCGACGAAGCTGGATCTAGGTAGTACGGGTCAAAATGTTTGCCCTATACGAGTTTTCCGTGATTCTCCCTTTTTGCCAGAAGAAAAAAAAATCAATGGTGGTCTCAAAAAATTTTCGTCTGAAGCGTCCTCCATCTTCAAGCTTGAGATATACAAACCCCCGTGAAATAAATCAATCTTGCTCAACGGCGAGAAAAAATAATGCAAAGCCAAGTCTGTCGCCCACCCGTACGATCTAGCGCCCTGTAACCGCGCAATTTTTGCGACGAAGCTGGAGTGATCTAGGTAGGTACGGACCTTACAATTTCCCTCGTGGTATCCCTCCTACTAGTCGGGCTAATCCCGGGTTTGCCTTTAAGAGAATTACGATCCTCAAGATTGCAGCAGATACTAATGAATCACTGCCTGCCTTTCATAAGGCATTAGCGCTAGCAGCGCTATCTCGCATAATTGATTCATATAAAGAGTTTGCAGCACTCAGTAAACGATGAAAAGGAAAGGAAAGGAGTACCTCGGGAAGCGAAAGGTACCAGTTCCATCCTGCTGCGAAGTGCTTTATGCATAACCCAGCATTCTTATCAGAACCGTAATATACATTTCTTCTCCCAATGAGAAACACGATCAGTCACAATTTGCTGTTTCATAGCAGGATCTTTCTCTTATTGTTTTTTCCCTTACCATAATAAAAAATTTAAAAAATTTCCGACATTTTGCTGTACAGCTGCAGTGTTCGAATGACTGTTAGGTTATTTCATGCCGTCACATTGCTGTTTGCGGTCACCTGGAGGAATAGCGAGAGAAGTAAAGGCGAAATCATAGAGGTCTAGGCTAACACCCAACAGAATGTCCATAAAACGGCCCCTGTATCAGGGATTCCATTTCTGCTCATTCCTAGTATTTACTTCACTGAAATCTCCTTTCATGATTTTCTATGCGTGCATGTGCTATATGTGTGAATTACCGTTTCCATCTATTAGCTCATAATTTATTCGTTGTCAAGCATATTACTAATAAGTAGAGAATTATTAAGCACATAATCAGAAATATGTCCGCATGTTTCTTTTGTGACGCTCATCCCTCTTTGTGTGATTCTACAGCCAAAGTTCAAAATGTAATCAAAATATTTTGGGAAATGGGGCTAATGAGACTCGAATTGGCTTCAATGTATAACTTCCTCTTAGCAATACTGCGAATCGAAGGAAGGAGCGATAAGGTGCAAGCTACACTTCGTATCCAGCGCCAGGTGCGTCTGCACTGCAAATTTTACATCATAAGTGACGACAGTCCCCGGAAAAAGCTGGCACTCAACAGTTTTCGGGTATAATCGATAAATACTAGTTTCAAATAGTATCAATCAAGATGTAGAATACACTATATGCTTAGATTCATAAGTGATGACGATTCCAAAAAATGTGATACTTTTCGTTGACAGAAAACTACCGCAGCTTGCGAAGGTTGTCGTCACTTATGTTGTGAAATCTGCAGTGCAGGCGAACCTGGCCATCGGATATAAATAGAAAAATAAATATAAACATGATATAAGGGCTATTCTCGATTCGACATCGGAAGGATTCTACTATCCGGTGAAAAAGCCTTGCGAGACAAGAAATCGCTGTTCATTTCTCGTAAGACAGGAGTTATGCATGTCGAGTCGCACACGCTCAGGCATTCACCTTTCGGCTGGCGGTGGCAGATTGGCAATATTTATGGTTTTCTCTAAGATGGTTTAGCATAAAAAGTATACTGTCGATATCGGAAGTTGGCGGGAGGCATTGAAGGGAAGTGTACGTGCTGTGTGTTGAGTTGTAGAAGGTTGGCGTAGATGAGCTGTTGCCACATGCTGCTGCATTCAGCGATGGGTATATGGAGCGATTTCAATAGCGTTTATCAGTGCACGTCACTTTCTCGTTGCCCGACTACCTAATCCTGGGTATCGGTATAACGGCTTTTGAAAACTCTCTAATTTTGTTAGTGGTTTAGTTTTTCGCTGTATAACGGCTTCTTCGGGCACATTTCGGAATATAACACCACTGCAATTTAAAAGACATGAGCTTAACATCAGTCAAGCAGGCTGGCTTTTCGCTAATGGGGTATTGTGCAAGCACTATTGAAGACGCAATGGGCATTGTCAAACGTTCAATTTGACATTACCAGAAAGATAGATCCACCTCATAAATGCAGTCGTAATGAAATCCGGCAGGAGCAAGTTACACGCCTTGCACAGTGCTAGTTCTGACGACTGTTTAAATCACAAGTTCATTGCCTCCACGAGGTCTTCCCTGTTGTTTATCTCTAAAGACAACCGCCCGATAGCGAGTGACTTTAACAATTTTCTTTCCAGGAAGACCTTTTTCAAAGCGTCTAGCACAGTGACCATATTTAAGGAAGCGGTTTTTTGGTCCTCGTAAGCTGATCGCGATATTTTGTTTGGGAGGTACGCGAAGGTTTGCAGTGGTATAAAAAGGATAAAGCATTTGCCGTTGATCAATCCCGTTTTGGGATGCGGCACGCATTCTACTTCCATTTGTACATTCGCAGTGGCATTTGAATGCGATGTGGCCTATACAATGACTTGCGGGGGCCAGCCGATGTTCAAGTCAGTGTTTTTTTATCCTCCCAGACAAGTCTGGTACCAATTAACCGACCCCGGAGGGATGGAAGGCTTGGTTGGCCCGGGCGACTCACGACCCAGGGACTTGATCCCCGGACGCGGCGGTTGGGTAGCGCGGCGTTGTACTACCACCATAGTCCGCCCTCTGTTTATCAATCTTTGGTAGCTTTATGGAACAGGTTTCAACTATGACCAAGAAGACGCGTCACTACTGACAACAGCTTTGTTCCGCTGCAGCTATTCTGGCCACACCTTTCATCGTTAGGGTCTCGACGATGTCAGCAAGCTTTTGATGTTCTTTGGTGGGCGAAACACTAGTACTGAAAGGTCCGCTGATTGTACGCTTTGGTTCACCTTCTCTGCAATACCCTCGTTCACATTGTTGGTCACAAATGAGAGTTCCGCGACGAAGCGCATTGCCGTGACTCGCGCTGTGTCTGTTCCTTCCTGTATTCTTGGAGTACGTTGGCTTATTCAGCCGATCCTCGAGTGAATCTGGTCTCGTCGGATTTCGTATCCATTCGCCTTCAGTACAGGGGGAAGCCATGCAAAAGACTTTTGCGAATGTGACCTCAGCGTTTTCTCCGTGAAGAGATTGTCGACGGCTGCGGAACTTTACAGCAAATTCCTTGAATGTCTTTATAGTTGCGCCAGCACCTTGACTGCCCTCACACGTCTTCGATATGACCGTCATCTGTCATAGGTCGTAAAGCTCAGGGAGGTCCGTAAAAAGCGCCAGACGAAGGTCTTCTTTCATTTCTTAATCGATCGTCGAATCATTCATTGGTAGTTTCCGACGATATTCTGATACGCGCGAACCCCCCGAACCCGCTTTTCAGAACTGTCGTAATGTGATGGTGGGATGCGACGGGACGCAGACGTGAGAACGTCCACGTTTTCGTGCTAAATTTTTCCGACTTGTCCACATTGAGGGCCCATATTAAGATTATTCTCATGGATGTGCTTTTTCATTTGTGTGGAGTCCATTGCTCAGAATTTAACAGGTGTTATTTTAGTCGGTTTGATAGCAGAATGTCTTTTTTGTTTACTTTGCCCGCCTGTTGAGATGGGCTTATGTAGCATAGTAAACGATGGTCCTAAACAGAGCAGAGAGATCTATTATCCCGTCTACCAATTCTGTCCCAGTTACTGTACAATGCTTTGGTGGTGTTGTTGTATTACAGTGAAAGCTAATCAATAATTCTTATATCGGAAGAATCCATCAAGAGATTTCTCAAACTAGACATACGACTTATGAGGCTCAGGGATAGCTTAATAATATCACATCTAGGATAAAATAATAAAAAATAATATAAAATAATAATAAAAAATAAATACTGAGCTCCACATCGGCTGGCCTCCGTAACTCATTGTAAGAGCCATGTCGCATTCAAATGTCATCACGTTTCGGAATGAGAGTGTATTGAGTGGCACATCTTAGAGAAAAACGCCACCTTTTGGCCTGATCAAGGGCCAACTCAGAACGTTCTCGAAACGAAACAGTTCCTATCGGACACTCGAAAGAAGTCTATAGTCATGTTAAGATATCGGCCCCAACGGCACGATACCACCCATACTGAATAACTAATATATGCCTCCCGTTCATTTTAATGGTCTTGAATTAAGCCGTATGCTTCACTGGTAACTTACTCAGGTGTCAAACACATTCTGCCAGTCTCAACTGCTCTGAATTTAATTATGGTTTTTAACTCTGACTTTCTTCTGAGAAGTTTCCTTGGATGTCATGGTGGATAGGAATGCGTAGGAAGCGGAACTCCTCGTAATTAGCCTTCACTCGTCCATCTGACACAACAAACATATTTCCATGCACTTGGATCATACAAAGACTTGTTTGTCATGGTTTAGGTCAATAGCTCAACCACATGAGAGTCACACACCGCTAGAGAGTTCGGGAATAACGGGAACCTTATCGAGCACAGATTATTTTCAGCATCCACTTTAGAGATCTAAAAGTGATGTGACTTTTATAGAAGACACCATGACTGTGAGTTTTTGGAGACCTATTATGAATCAGAATTCATAGAGCTTAGATTTTCTAGGTCCTGACATCTGGTGTTGAATTTGCTCTAGCATGTGTAGGCGGGGCGCACTCCATGAGAGTTGATCGACGAAGAATTTCCCGACGCTCCGAAAACCGTGCTCTCATTCTACATCGAGCAATCAAGCATGACGCATTTCGATCGTTTTTTCGACGTCATTCATTTCTTAGAGACTCGGTGATTACATAGGCTTGCGCCTATTATTACAGCCCTCCGAGGATTTACTATCAGTCTGCTGAGTCACAAAAAAATAAACATCGACAGCTTCGCTCAGGCCTTCGCTTATCACCGCACTAATTACACAGCGTGAAGAGCGGGCAATAAGGAACTGCACAGTTTCAGTCTTTTCCTAGTTTTTCACTTTTTCCCATAAGAAGCACCACAAATTGCACTATTTTCACTCTACTGCCCCTCTCCCCGGAAACCGAGTCGGGTATTTATCGATCGATATCTTGATCCCCATGATCAACCCTCAGGAGGGTCCTTAAGCAAGTGACCTTGGGGCTTCACCTATTTAAGCCGCATTACTGTCAGCTCAGGGTGGCAGGTGGACCTCATTGGTCGACTTTTCTAAAGGTTAGTTGTCTTTTTCTGTCCCACGACGTCGCCCTAGTAGTTTACCCCTGCTGAGCGATTCTTGTAGGTTGAAATAGTATTTGGACGGGTAGTTTCGTAAATGGCTTTCCTCTTTCCAGGCTCTGAAGAAGGCGAAAGCGCCGAAACGTAAGCCAAATAAAAGTTGTTATCAATCTTGGTTGGAGCTTATTCACTATACTGACATATTCTCTACGACTCATGCCAAGATTCATTGAGAGTCGCACATGGAAACTGCTAACGATATATTTGTATTTTCGTGACTGCGATTTGTCAGGAAAGGGTACCGTCGGGGTGGTGAGCTGTAGATCAAGAAGATCGCTCTCGACTAGAGCGAAAACGACGGATGCCGCCCCACAATTGCCGGCGCCAAAAGACACCAGAACACCTTGCATCATCAAATCCGATGGGAATTTTGTCATCAGGGGCAGTTTGACCTGCAGAACATCAGTGTCACACGTTGCAAGCGAGCCTCATGCGTCGCTAGGCCATAGGCGTCGACGCATAACTGATGTGGTAGCGCCAGCGCCTGTGGCGCGAGCGCTCCAAAGCGGCTTGATCTAAGAATCCTCTGACATATTCCATTGTTCGCTCTCACAAGTTAGTGAAATGTCTCCACAGTTCTGAATGGAAGTTTTAGGCGCTCGGTGCTTCCAAATTCAAGCCCGTGTTAGAAAGTCGGCGCCGTTGCACAGGCCAACTCGAGAAGGGTCCCAATACTTTGCGTCTCTACTCTGGTCAATGGTTAAGGATAGGGGGAGCGTCCAGAGATGCAGGGTTTTGGGGACCCACCCTCGAGTTGGGGGTTGCTACACCCGGCCCCTGGTGGATAAGTGTTGCTTCGTAATGATTTTTGAGGCGAGTGAAGTGACGGGTACACCACACGCTGCTAAGCGTCGCAATGTGAGCAGCTCCCGAGATCTATTAGTAAGTAGGAAGCTTGCCTCAGTAGCACTGATGGTAAACTTGGTTAGCACAAATCACTGTGTCTATCCCTGTAAATATTAATCGGAGGTACTTTGCGTGGAACACCTTTTGAAAACGTTATAGGTGACCCTTTGACTTTGACTGGGTTTCACTGATGGTGGCTATTGCGGCTGACATGTGCGAGTTAAGGGGAAGTGCAAGACAGTAGACAGAGTATTCATGAGAAACCACAGATTAGTGCCGATAATCACTTGAACTGGTGCCTCGGGTGATAGTAGTCCAGATCAGGATAATTAGGACCGCCCGTGTTACGGTGTAGAGGAGGAAACGATGCTAAAGGTCTTAACTGCCACACAATGAAGCTGATTGCGGAAGACTGGAAAACTCAAGGACCATGCGTGAAATTCAATGGATTTTGCAGTTGGAGGAGAATGATACAGAATCTTCGAGATTTAGGTATTTATATTTTATCAATCCTTCTGTAATACTTTCATTATTTTTGAAATGCCTGATAGCGCGTCTTTTGGAAAGCAAATTGATATGTTACTTTGTCAGTCGACCCGCTTTCTCATGGCGGGCTGAATCATTCTCTCAATAACTGCTTGACTACCCACTTTTTGGGAACCGCCGGCTTCTTGCGAGCGGGTCAAAGCGTTTATGGTCGGCAATAAAGGCCCATTCAATGACCACTTCTGAATGGTTAGAGCGCTTGTAAATAAAAATAGAGGCGGAAACGGGCTGCCAGGGAAGAAAATTCTATTTCATGGCACTTTTGTTCTGGAAAATTTTTCAGTGCAGCAAGGGACGTGCGTAGGCGACAGAAGTAGAGCCATTAACACAATTTTGCTCCTTTTCGTAGAAAATCTCGTTGAAGGCTGATCGACTCACCGGCTCTGTTCCGGGGGAATAATTGCGCAATTCTCTTGCCACCAATCGTAGTCCTCGTATGATATTTCTCTTTCCATCATAAGCATGGTACATTGTCCCAGGAATCTGATATATCTTTTTCAATTCCATGGCATGAGATCTACCAAAAAAGACGAACGTTTCTAACCGACAGACGCGAAACGGACGAAATTAAATGCAAAACGAAGAGGGACAGCGAATCGAATTCTCGCATACGATGGTTTATCAAAGAGCGATTTCCAAGAAGTTTAAGATAGCGAAGAAAACAAGGAAAGAATGGAGAATCACAAAGTGCGATTGTGCACGCAAGCACTGCAATGGACGGAGGGTCGCACTTTTCTTTGAGGGAATGCTCTGGAGTGGTTTCCTTTCTTTGTGACGAGGTTGTATTTGCGATTATCCAGAGTAAGTCGTGGTGGGAAAGTTGAGGGCTCTTTCCACAGTGGAAGAGAGAGCGGTCCTCTTTGCGATTTCTTTCACAATTTCCATGAAAAATAGATGAAATAGGCGGAATCAGAGCATTTTCATTTCAGCAATCATGAGACATTAGGGAGGGGACAGGAGCTTACATTTTTGCTGATCTTCGAAAAAATTATACAAAAAGTGGTGAGAGTAGGAAGCACTTTGAGAGTCGGGCGGTTCGAGGTAACGAGGGCGCTCTTGCATCTCGTTCACACAATATGCTTTGCGATGTAATTCCTTTTTGAATGGAACCCTTTCAGCGCGAAACACATTAACCTTCAAGTGTCGAGAGTTCTTTAGTAGGATCAATGCATGCTATCTTTGATGTATCGCGTCATTATTGACACAAAAGTGTCAACGAGTGTAGTGTGTATCTATTTGCGCAGCGCGTAATTGCGAGGAGTTTTGCGTAAGTGAAAAGTTGGCAGGTATTTCGGAACGACACCTCATAGTGTTTGGACGATATAACTAATTTTGTGGAGCACGGTGTTTGTCACTAAAAGAAATTACTGGAACTCGATAATTATGAGTGCCTTCAAATATAGGAGATAGTTTTATACTTCTTATGTTTCATTTGTGATCGGGATGCGATCAGAAGTTCGGGTCTGTCATCACAAAGGTGCCCATTAGTGGTTGTATGGTCGTAGAGGATTGAAGAAGCAATACTAATTACAACATGTTACATCTTGATTAAATGACTTATACTTCCTTAGAAGTTCGAAGAATTTTACTTTTCGGGAGAGGGGAGTGTAATCAGGGAAAGTCACTAATTAAATGGGATGCCCCTCAAGATGGGGTGACGGCAGACGAAAACGGATTATATGGCGCAATTTGGCATGGTTAGAGGGCCTCCATTCTGTAAGAAAAAGAAAAAAGCTCAAAAAGCTTAGGTTAGAGGCTAATTCACGGCTATGTTAAAAACAAACCCCGGGATTAAGCAGGTGCTATCAGAGCTTCGCAATGATAGTTTAGCCCCTGAAAGTGGGAGGTAAAACAAAAGAAGTCTGTGAGAACGCTGGAACTATTAAACATAAGGTTTACACTTTCAGTAGGCGATGTGGTACGATGACGAGACAAGGCGATTGAAGAAGATAAAGTACGCGAGAGAGCACGTCGTTTGAGAGAGCACACTGATCTCTACATCAATGCACACTGATCTCACCACCTCTCGCGGTTGGTGGGAAGCGTTGGAATCGGTCACCCGGTGGCTTGCAGGATTTCGGAAGATTAGTGTCCTAAGGCGAATTTTGACGACAAAGCTGGAGTAAATCTAGGTAGGTCGACCTTAGCAATTCCTCGTGGTGCTTTCCTATAGTGGTCTAATCCAGGTTGCTTATGGCAATTGACAGACCATGGGCGAGGAGGAGAATACTGAGTCGAGAGAGTTGTAACAGTCAAGGTCGCGGCAATCAGCAATAAAAGGAAAAAAATTGCAGCTGCTGCATCTCATTTGCAAAAGCCCCTAAGCGAGTTTGGGAATTGGGAGATTTGATTAGGCGGCCGCGTTCGGCGACTCATTTCATGTCATCGATTGAAATCACTGTATGTATAGATGTTTTTATCAGCCGGCACACAGTTTGCCACTAGCGGCTGGATGCGCAGCATGCCACAAGCTATGAAGCGAAAAGGGGGGAGAAACGCGAGAAAGCTCATCTTGAAACCTCATCTACGCAAGTTCACAGGTCAAGATGGGAGGGATATGGAAAGCCTCCAAAATCCATTAGCACAGTGTTTTTTTTGTTCCATCAGATGGAGAGACACACTCGGAGGAGAGAAGAAGGCTCAACAAAAAAGGAATGGAGTCAATTTTTCATGACAGAAGGAAAAACTAGGTAATGAAAGAGAAAAACTTGAAACAATATTGTACGAA